TGTATGCCATGAATTATTTCATAAAATAATTGTAAATCGTGGAACAAAATCCTAGTTGTATGTACAAGTGTTAAAATGATATACACCTAAGTCTGCTTTTACACGGTCTTTTTGTACACGGTTTTGATATAACACGGTTTAAAAATTGAATATTTTTAAATTAACACTAGCTTAAAGATTTAAGTGAATTCCTTTAGTGCGTACAAACAATTTTTACTGGTCAAAGCAAATTTGAATAGCACTAATTTAGGGGAATTCTCTTTATGTATAAGATCAATTTCTTTTTTTACACGGCTTCTTCTGGAACCAATCTACCGTGTAAAAACAGACTTAGGTGTAAAATTGTTAGCCAGGTATACATTATCGTGGATTTTACTTGTCTTATTACCGATGGAAACAAGTGCAGCAAAATTCTGTAATGTTTCGATTTTGGCTCTGTAAATGTAAAATAAAAAACCTTATTCTGGATATTCGCTGGGAGATATCTCGCATGTAAAAAAATCGCTTTCACATTCTCGCCTTATTCTGAATGCGAGATGCGGATTCGAGTTTTCGAAAATGGTGCTTGAAAAAAAGATTCGTGTTGCCATATTGTGATTGAAGTTGTAATGTGTGTTGCCATATTGTAATTTAAGTTGTAATTTAATTGTGTAATATTTTTCAATATTTTATTTATTGATGTTTTATTAAAAATGTTTACTTTTTATTATATAAAATTTATAACAATACAAATGTTTGTAATTAAAAGAAAATAAATTAAAATTTGAAAATATGGCAACCTACAATATGGCATGTGAAACAGCTGTTTTGATGCAATTTGGTGCAACAACTACAATAGATTACAAATAAAAGAACATTTTTATGATGGGAAAAACACAACGAGTAATGGGAAGAAATCTGCGTTTGAATTAATTCACAGTTTATTATTTCACTACATAATTGTGTGCCTCTTGATATAATTTCTATATTTTATCTCCCAAAATTCTTAAAGTGGTCAGTTATGATTTGCTCCTACTCCTTTATTTCTTCCTTCAGATCATGCACGCGATAATTTTGAAAGAACAAAAAATATTTTTTTTTAATTTATTTTAGTTCTTTCATAATTTTTATTTAAGTTTTTCACTGTTATGCAGCTCATAAGGCAAATTTGGTTTTTCCATAATTTTTAAAATTTTTTTCTTGAGAGACAGAGAGATCCTCACCTCGCATTCAAAACTCGACTTAAATATTCTTTATTACCTTTATACATTCCTTGGCAATATTTGGTTCAGCATGCATCGTTATCAATAGGATTTCAAATGACATTTTTTTGTTCAGCCTTATTCAGGATGTCAATTCCATGTGAATTTACTCGCTCTTCCCCTTCGTCTTATTCTGAACAACATTTTTGTGTGAATTTTTTCTCATTCTCGTTTTCGCCTTATTCTGAATGAAGTTCGAAAGCGAAAAAATTCGCTTTGGGGAAAAATTAGGTATTCTGGATTACAGGGAGTAGGAGAATGAGATGAAATTTTGTGCGAAATTTTTCGCTAATAAATTCAAAGTGAGTTGACTACAAAAACATAAGTTATAAATATCTTTATGAAAAATATTAACACAATACTTATTCTATGACGATTTAGAATATTATAAATGATAATAAGCAAATATTTATCTGGAAAACAGCAAATAAAATGCCTTTGGAAATCCTATTGATAATGATGCATGCTGAACCAAATATCGCCAAGGAATGTTTAAAGGTAATAATGAATATTTAAGTCGAGTTTGATGCATTTGGGAGGCGAAAAACAGACATTTTGGGTGAGGATCTGTCTCTCAAGAAAGAAAAGCCGCTTAACAGTGAAAACTTAAATACAAATTATGAAACAACGCAAAAAAAAACTACAAAAAATATATATTTTTTTAAATTATCGTTTGCATTATTTGAAGGAAGAAATAAAGGAGTAGGTCACTTTAAGAATTTGGAGAGATAAAATATGGAAATTAAATTAAAAGGCACACAATTATGTGCCTGTGTTTTTGCCATCATAAAAAATGTTTTTTTTATTTTTAATCTATTGTAGTTGTTGTACCAAATTGCATCAAAACAATGAACAGCTGTTTCACATGTCATATTGTAGGTTGCCATATTTTCAAACTTTAATTAATTTTCTTTTAATTACAAAGCATTTATAAAGCTGATTATTGATATTTCACATTTGTATTGTTATAAAGTTTAAACAACAATAACAAGTAACAATTTTTAATAAAATAATCAATAAATAAAATATTGAAAAATATTACACAATTAAAATACAATGGGGCAACATACATTACAACTTAAATTACAATATGGCAACACACATTACAACTTAAATTATAATATGGCAACACGAATCTTTTTTTCAACCACCATTTTCGAAAACTCGAAACCGCATCTCGCATTTTTTGCGTCTCCCTATTCATTCAGAATAAGGCGAGAATGTGAAAGCGAAAATTTTTGTGTATGCGAGATATCTCCCAGCGAATATCCAGAATAAGGCTGGTTGTTTTCCCGTTAAAAAATTGCTTACTATAATTTATAATATTCTAAATCGTCATAGAACAAGTATTGTGTAAATATTTTTCATAAAAATATTCAATACATATGTTTTTTGTAGTCAGCTCCCTTTGAATTTATTAGGGAAAAATTTCGCACAAAATTTCATATTATTCTCCTACTCCCTGTAATCCAGAATACCTAATTTTTCCCCAAAGCGGATTTTTTCGCTTTCGAACTTCATTCAGAATAAGGAGAAAGCGAGAATGTGAAAAAATCACAGGAAAATGTTGTTCAGAATAAGTCGAAGAGGAAGAGCGAGTAAATTCACGTGGAATTGACATCCAGAATAAGGCTGAACATGTTGCTCTATTACATATTTTTTTTCGATTTCCCTGTTTTTATTTGAAATGGTTAATGTGGTAGTTTTATTGTAATAGTGAAATGTACATTTATAACTCAGGGCCGCGATGGTTATCGTGATTGTTAAAATGTACTTCCTTGTCATTTTTGTTGACGTGTGGAGAATTAATATATATTATTTTTTTGTATAAGTGTATTAATTGTAGACTATTAATGTCTTAAAAGTGGTTTTTAAAATTATTGTGAATAAACAAAACTAAAATAATAACAAATCGATTCAGGTTCTGAAACAGAGCAAAATTACTGATTAATATAATCTCTTCTGTTCAGAACGTGCGATAATATATACAATTTTTTATTACGATATTAATTTTTCTTGGAGTACAGGAACAGACCAATAAAGATTCAAACGTAAGAATTTCAATAGAAAATGCAGTTTATGACTTAAATTTTTTTCTGAGTTTGATCGCTGTTAGTATATATATAGCTGTTTAACCCTCTTTACAAGTATGTTATAACAATAAAAATACCTGTTTTGAAATGTTTAATAAAATATTTTTATTCAGTGCTGCAAAGTTGCTGTTTTTACAAACATTAAAAAAGTAATTTGTCACATATATATGTATGTATATATTCATATTAAAGTATATATTTTATATAGTTTTAATAAAAAAATGCAAGATTAACTTGTTCACAAAGTCGAACTATTGTATTATTCCAAAAGTTTTAAGAAATCCCACTATAAATATTCCGAGCTTATATTCAAAAATTTGTTTTTGTTCATGAATAGATTTCATAAAGTTTCTTATTCTACGTTTAATATCGTCAATGAATTTGTATTCTATTCCACATAATTTTGCATTAATATTTTACTTAAACAGATTGTTTAATCGAACATCTTTTTACTGTCAGAATCCGATTTTAGACATTTCTTTATTTAAGGTGGTCAAATCGTTTGGCAATATATTGTATACCTTGTTGTTTGGAATATGATGTAAAAAATATAATGGTCGTATTGAAAATGGTGTACTAAATGCCAAATAATCAAGCTTATTTCTATTTTCATAATTGGTGTGAGTCCACACACTTATTCAATTTCGATGATTTCTTAAAGCTAATCTCGATATCAACTTTAATTATTATTCTCACTTTCAATGTTGAATTCACAATAACATGTACTAATTTATCAATATCAATTTAAATGTACATATATATTTTTTGTTTGTAATTAAAATTTCGATAAAAATTATATATATATATATATATATATATATATATATTCAATATTTATTCAGACATTTGATTTGCGTTTATTTTCAGGGATCTTTTTTCATGAATTTAAAAGTGTTGTAGTTATTATTATATTTAAATATATATGAGAAAATTGTGTTTAGAGCTACGAAAAAATAAATAATTATAATAATAGATACATACATAACACACTCGCACAGTCGGGCCAGTGCATAAAGAGGAAAAATATATATAACATATAAATTTAGACAACATACTAAACATAAAAACATGTAAAGAAAAAAATGCCGGTTGAGCAAGTTTCAAATTCACATTGAGCAATTCAATCAATAAATTCATTGATTGTAATATACGGTTGCCTAACATAGGCTTTAAATAAATTTCCAAATAGTTCTTTATATTCTTTTCAGTCTGTTTCTGTAAAACAAAAATAAATCGAAATAATTCGAGCGAAAATATACCATTCATTTTTATTTCGTGTCTATCGAAAATATATTACTGATGGCAACTCACTCGAACTCGGCAGTTAATCTTATAAATATAGAAACATTTGAATAGAAAAAATAATGCTAACTTGATAAATAAATTTTCATAAACAATATCACAGGGAATGTGGACGTTAAGTTTCCAAATAAATTGGGAAATTTGGCAAAATAGAGAGTTAGGGATTTCTTGTGTGCACAAAGTCATGTGTTTACATATAATTAAATACAACGACTTAACGATAAGTTACCTACTTTAGGTACGATTTCCATGTTTATATCTGTATATATTGTATGTATGCGTGAGAGAATGGGCGTGTATAAAAGTACATTTGTTAATTACTATGCAAAGTGAAAGATTATTCTACGTAACTATGGTTTTTTCTTCTCCAAATTCGGTTTTAAAAATTGCCTGTTTGGTAATTTTAAGATACGAGTGATTATCAATCGTATTTCAGCCAGAGATGAACAGTAGTACATCGTTGTATCCGTCTTATATTCGACATAATGGATCTTGGCTACGTAATTCAAACGGTTTGGTAGCTTCTCCGAAACGACCGATACAAGCAGCAGGCAAACAGAATGGTAAGAAACTGAAAAATAAATACATACATATTTAGATAAATAAATGCAACGGACAATATTATTACTATCGTCAAATTTAGAAGGGTGGAGAAAATAATAATCATCATGAAATAATAATTGGTCGTCATAGTCGTTTATTGGCGGTATTATGTACAATTTAGTACTACTTAAAATTTTGTAAAATATTTTTCTTTTATTCTGTTACAAAGTCAAAATTTAAAACTACGTAATATTTCTGCTTTTCTAATTAATTTCCTGACAAGCTGAATTGTTGTGAATATTGAAAAATGCAGAAAAGATTAACTATTAATCAGTAAAAAGTTTAAAGTTATTTTTATCCTGTTCTGGTTGGCATTTCGCGATTAAAATGTTGGCAGCAAGAGAAGACTGAGGCATGAATTCGCCTGCTTGCTAATCTTATGAATAAACCTTGGGGTGGATATTAAATTCACAGAGAATAGAACATGAAGTCAATCATTTTATAAAAAAAATATTTAGTTTATATAAAATCGATAAATACTACCAAATTTAAAATTATCTCATCTTTTTACCTGAACGCCAGCAACTCCCAAAACAACTCCAGCCAATACTAAGGTTTTGGAATCTAAAATATTCAAGAGCTTCTGCAAACATCCATCTGAATTAGCATGAGCAACGGTACAGACATCAGCTTCATTAAGGTTAATCATCTGACAACAAGACGATGGGATGGTTTTGTTAGTGAAAACCTGTTCCCAATCGGCGGGTCCTTTAATTCCACAACATCCCAACTAGAAATTGAAATGTTATATCGAAATGTATTAGCCAATACTCGCCAACTTACCTCGGTTTGTAATAGAGTCCATGCATCACGATAGTCTTTACGATCATTATATTCATCCATGGTTACATTGAATTGACTTTCCATCATTTGTTTGAGACCAGTATGTTTGATATAGCCCGCTATACCCAACCCTATCTCAAGGAAAAATACTATCAACGCCAAGATGACAAACGACAGGATCATGCAGCTGTTTTCCTTTAAAGCACCACAACACCCCATGAAGCAGATAAATGCCACCAACGATCCCACAATCATCAAAATTATTGGCGCTGTCCATATGTGATCACTAACAAAGTTTGAATAGTGGGCATAGTTGAATTGCACCATTGCTCCGATCAATAAAATCAGTATGCCCGAAAGCTAAAAATGAATCGACCAATTAAAATGTGACCTCTGACCCACGACTCAGTCAAATACTTACGGCAAAACATAAATTGCAGAAGAATGTCAAAAATTTGACACATGTTACTCCTCCAGATGCCATATTTGTAAATCGATCTGTATAAAAGAAAATATTTTAATTTTTTATTAGATATATCTTAAGCGTTCATTGTAAGACATTTACTTAAATAATATTTATAACGTGTAGCACTTCCGCGACAATTCGATTTTACTTATATTCTCTTCCACTGCTCGATACGTAGTACCACTTGTTCACGCATACCGTAAAAAGTGGTTCAAATAAGCAATAACCGCAATATGTAGCAAATAAAATATACGAGCACACACCCTCCCTATGGGTGACAAGCAGACACATTCAATTATTCTCGTTGGCTTGGGTATGCGCTACGACATAGTCTACAACAATTGAAGCTACCCGCGCCAATAATAAATCAATACCAGTCGTTAGTGGAGCACTCTTCATCCGTAAGGCAAAATTTCACGAAGACAATGACAAAAAAAAAAAATTAAATCCTCTTCGACCACATTGAAACCCCAACTTACAAATACACTCGCCCACCCCTCGTCGTACACTTCACACATGTATCGTTTTATGATGTATTGGATAGTTGAAGGTTTTCGTCGAAGCCTCGTCCGTCAACCTTATCTCAACCCTTTTCAACGAATTGTATACCACAGAATATTGTTCTTGTGGAAGGAGGGTAGGGATCAAAATTGCTATTTTAATCATATTGATTAGATTCATTTGCCTAAATGTATATTTTATTTTGTCAGTAAAGAATGTTAACAAAAGAAAAGTTCCTGAGGATTCAACAGAGATTAGTTGGATGGTCCTATTTTATATACTCTTGAATATATCAATAACTTTCGTCTTTTATCAAATTTTAAAATTAAAATTTTCCTAAAATTGGTTAATGGTATAATTTAAATCGATTCAGTAATGCCTACGCAAATCATGATAGAGTTCATAATCTTTGATTAAAGCTCAAACATTTTGCACGTTCACGATTTTAGGATCTTTTGTTTGCGTTTTGGATACAAACAATTATCAATATCGATCATAGCCACTGAATCACGGTAACTGATTATACGGATTGGACATGTGTTATCTGAATTATCCTTTCTTATGTCGCTTCATAATAATTCTCGCCAGAGAATTTTTGGTGCTTCGAACGTTTTGAACCGGTTTTTCATTCAAGAACACACAGGAAAAAAGCGAATGTAAAATCAACATTGCAAAATTTTGATTTTACATCGATGTAATTTTTTAGAAACATTTTATTTTAACTTTGTTTCATATAAAATCAACAGTAAAACATGTTAATTTAATATTTAACGTTGTTGATTTCAAATTTTTTACTTTAAAATAAAATTGCCCATATTTATTTTAACATTTTTCATAGTTAAAATAACAGTAGACAATGTTGAATTTCCATAGATGAATTTTTATAATAAAAATAACAAATTTTCATGTTAAATTAACATTGTGACAATAGTAAAATTAATAGTTATGAATGTTGAAATGACATTTTTCTATTTTAAAAATTAAATAACATTGACTCATGTTGAAACAACATTTCAATCATGTTAAGTTAATATTGTCACTAGTTAAAATAACAATTACCATTGTGAAATTAAAATTGAAAAAATAGTAAAATTAATAGTTATAAAATGACATTCTTCTATTTTAACAATTAAATAACATTGACTCATGTTGAAACAACATTTCAATCATGTTAAATTAATATTGTGAAATGTAAATGCTAACTGGAAAAAGATTAAATTAAAGTTGTGGATTGTTAAAACAACATGAAACAATGTTGAAATGAAATGAATATGCCGAATATTTAACAAAAATTCCATTCGTATAGCATTTATTAGAGTGTTAAGGCGTATACCGCGTGGAAAAGTAAAGTGCTGCACATATTAAGTGAATTTAATTCTTTAAAATGCAATTATGTCTGAAGCGGACAATAATAATATAAATTTGGCATGTGTTGTGCAAAATTTTAGCCGAGATAACATTAATTTATTGAGTGACGAAAACGAAAATATTATAATAACCATTCCAGATATTCAAAGTACGAGTCAGTGTTCCCAATTAGAAAGAAAGTATATAAATATGATCAACATAAACAGAGCGAACCGAATAATTTGTAATAATTATATTTTACGCAACATTGTTGTTTTTGTTACTAAATATACAAGAACTCTTCAGTTCATGCGTTTGGAAGACTCTTCTCTCTGTTTATATATATATTTAACATATTTTTGATACTATCTAAAGAACATTTTTCAATAATTATATAGGATCTAAAATTACATATAAAATATCTATCAAAGGAGGACATAAAGGAAGCTATACCACCAATAGGCCTTCGTGCTTGTTTCCGGGAAAAGTTGTTCTGTTGGAGAAAAACTGAAGTAAGGAAAATCATTCTTAATCATGTTTTCATTTTATTTATTTCAAATATTTTGTTTTCATTTTCTACAGTATAGCATTGATGACGATACCTTGTCTCAAACGATTGCCAATAAAGTAGTCTCTTGGTTATAAGATCAATCTAATGTTAGTACAACACCATCGCCGGTTTCATCATTATCAACAATAATTGCTAATTTTAAGCTGTCTAAGGTAAAATTTCAAATCATAGTTTATCGTTTTTGTAATATACATCATTTTTTCAAGCGATTGCGTTCAATAGGCTCAAACAAAGATCATTTTGAAGTTTCATATACAATCCCCGAGAATACTTGTTCACAAGTTGACGCACCAGTTCTACAAACTTTAAAAGCTTCATTGCCAAGGGATTGTTCTAACTGGGATGAAGTTAAAGACATGTGGCAAAGGACATTTTCATTAAGGCAAAGCGAACTGAAGTCGTCTGGTAATAATTACGAATTCCTTAGCGATTGGCCATTATATACTAATAGCAGAGCTGACGAACTAGTAAGCATTACAATCAAATCATGTTTCAATCAACAAAGATAAATTGTTGTTATTTTTATTATTATTTCAGATTAATATAGACTGAGATTCTGCATCCAAACAAAACTCACCTTTTTTGAGTAAATGAAGTGTGTTCATGAACAAAATTGGCAGTTATTATAATCTCCACATAAAAGACAAAAAATCGAAAGAAGTTCTTACAAATGCAAAGGGTATTTCTGACCAAAGTTAGTATCGTATAATCACATAAATTGTGTCTACTTTTTATTAATTCACAATTTTTTTACAAGGCTCTTTAGGCTGTATACATGCAATTCTACTTAATGCTGTAATTTTACCAAACGCTTGTTCTTCGGACAAATCTGGCAAGAATTCCAAAAAATTTTCTATAGCAGATGCTATCGAGAGCTTCGTTGTCCATATAGTATCAATAAATGATTATGAAAAGGTAATATCTGTAATTGAAGAAAAATATTACAATAGGGGGTTGACTATACAACCATTTATAATAGTTGTAGGCCATAGTATTTATAATCTTGAGAAATTTTACGTATATTTTGATAATACACTTTTAAAATTTGGATCGTTTTTGAAATGCTTAGATACAAGCTTTAAAATAATACATACGTTATCGTTGGAATATCCAAAAGGATGTGAAGGTCCATGGTTTTTTTATTCAAGAATATTTTTATGAAATAAAACCCGTTCAAGATCAACAGTTACCAAGCATTGGCACTTTGCTTAATTTTTTAAAAGATTTAAAAAATTAATTCAAAATGTTGTCTTGTTTCATATGTAATAAAAGGTTGTCATATTCTTGAATTAAATGATAGTTATATAATTGAACCCATTGATGAGTATGAACATATGTTTAATAATTTAAACATTAATGTTGGTAATGTTGTGTTTCATAATGAATTAATTATCGCAAGAAGACTTTATAGAAACAATTATTATATAGCAATCAAAACAGAATTTCTTTCTTTGTATAAAATTGCCTATATTACAAAAGTTCATTCCACAATTTATGTAATATGTTCGAACATTCCAATCGTACGTTGTAGGCAAGTTAACGGACATGGTATAATAATAGAAGGTAACAGCAAGTGTTGTTGTACAAAAAATGATACAGCAACCACATGGAAATTTGTTGTTTGTAGTGTCAACTCATTTGGCAGAAATATGTAAACAAACAAATTATCATCAAATTATCTTTATTTTGAAATGTGTAAAACATATGATAATGCAGGGAATAGCGAGATGTTCCTTGAAGAAAGATTTGCTTCGTCAAACTTTCCCAGCAGGCAGATTGAGTAAGTTGAATACGGGAGCACATTTAATAAAGAATAATTACAAATTGTATGCGTTCCCAATTTTCCTGTTGGGTGATTTTTTTTAAAAAAATGTCAAATTCATATTGACACTAGTATTACGTTGGAATCAAATCAGCTGGGATTTGCTGTTGCCTTTTATAACACTGTGCGACACGAAAAATTTAATTTTATAACGGTAAATATAGAGAAAAACGTGGTTTCATGGATTTTCCATTTGAAACTTGAATAACTTATTTGCTTTATAACGGATTTATATTATTATTTTTTTCTTTCGTTTTTCCTTTCAAACAAGATATATATTTGGTAAATCGGTTGAGTATTGGCTGAGTTACATTTGCTAAAATGAAAAATTTATAAAAGTTTTATTATATTACGACTTTCAATTACAAACATTTAATAAAGAATAATTACAAATTGTATGCGTTCCCAATTTTCCTGTTGGGTGATTTTTTTTAAAAAAATGTAAAATTCATATTGACACTAGTATTACGTTGGAATCAAATCAGCTGGGATTTGCTGTTGCCTTTTATAATTGTACCATGGTTAACGGATAAAATATTTTTAAAAGAACTCCATGAATTTACAAGTCCTCCTTTACATCTATTTCCTATTAATAATCGTAAAATATATTTAAGAAACAAATATTTCTAAACTTTATGTGGCGCTTTCCAGCGCCTTTAATACATACAACTTTGGTGAGCTTTATTCTGTGGCAGATGTTGATGCCCAGCTTGATATATTGAACTGTGGTCTTCGGCACTTGTATAGTGTAGTTCCTGTCAAAAGGAGATTTTGTAA